CCCCCCATTTCATTGAAATTTTCTGCTGATCACAGGACTGACATACACTTTTTATAAATGCAAATATCCAAGTCAAAATTATCATAGAGACTGATGAAATATTTCATTTTCTTCAGAAAACAATGTAGTGTTACTTTCTAAATTAGTTTTTATACTTAAAAATATTCCATATTCATCCAATCACCTCATGTATAAAATGATTCATACGGTTTTCCTTGCACTTTTTTCAGCCAATCGATGGTCATGTTACAATGCGATACCTTGACCTTCAGATGGCAAGTGGGCTAGAAAAATACCACTTTGTGCAAATCACTTACAATAAATCGGCAACAGACATTTCAAGCCGATATAGCACCGAAGTATTTTTTTATGAAAACGACTTGATAACTCTTTACAAAAGCATCAATTTCTTGCTGAAATGAATTTGAGAAAGATATACTTTAAAAAACTCATTTAACTGAATAAGAGGAAATAAATGTATATCGGACCTATATCGGACCGATATCACCCTGTCTTTAACGAGTTTGCCTATATCGGATATATATCGGTCCGATGGCGGAAAGCCGACTTCGATATTCCGACATTTAGCCGATATCGGCCCGATATAGGTATGTTTGCTGGGAAGACCTTATGGTCCTTTCCTTGCATACCTTATTTCAAACATATCACTGTTCATTATTTGAGCCGATGAATATAAAAAAGATTTCAACAAATACTGTCTTAAAAAGCTGTCTTTAAGTGTTTTATTTTGAATGAAAAATATGTTGTTCTTTTAAATCAACACAAGCTATATGTAAGGTGAGGTGAGAATGTTATCCTCATTTCAAGCATTATCATACGATATATAATTCTATTTCGTTTGCAAAAAAACTTTCTACCTTTATGCGAATCCGTTTAGAGTATTTTTGAATCCATGCGCATGCTTGATCAAATCGAGCCAGTTTGTCCAGTTTGTCATTTTGGATGTTCTTTAGGGATTCCGTTTTCTCTATTTTTTTCTTTCAGCTTATACTATGTCAAATATTACATTTTTTCTTGTCAATTATGATAACGTGAATGGCGTCTGGGAAAACTGGTTGAACTTGGGCTTGTGCTCAGTAACGTGTGGAGATGGAACAAGGTCAAGATTAAGGTCAGGTGATAATCCATCACCTAGCAATGGTGGAGAACATTGTCAAGGGTCAAGTGTGGACAATCAAAATTGCAAAGACGAGGACTGCCACAGATTTGGTAAATTTAAAACAAAACAAAAATGTGTTATTACATTTACAAATGAGGAAATATGACTTCCATTCTCTATCAAGAAATTTTTTCCAAATTAACGGAAAAAATTATCAGAAAAAAAATGTTCAATTAAATTCCATTCAAGTATTCCCTGGGTATCACATACATTATTTATTGATACGATAAATGATGGATATCTCTTCATTGGCCGCACCTTCTGAACTTTTTGTTCTGTCTACTGAGTATGTTCAAAATGTTATAAAATATATTTTCGATAATCATTTTATACAAGTATTATTGTAAAAGCAAAACAACCTTGCAGAAAAAGCGTTTTATAATATAAATTTATTATGTTTGCAGTAAATGGATACTTTATGAGTGAAGATACCATGAGATACATTTTTAAAATGTCCATAGATATTATTACAAAATATATGTGATTATGTATCTCTTCCAGGCATGGGCGCCTAGTGAACCTAATGGATCCAACTATGTTTGGATTGGAAGTGAGAGCGTACTGTGGGACGACGCCGAATGTCGAGGTGCGAAGTTTTATATTTGTGAACAGATATAAGCCAAGTTGCAGACTTCAGTCTTCATCTTCAAAAGTGCAAATTATTGAATATAATGAAATTAAATTAGTCGGGCTTTTTTTATTTTCAGTATAATTGTAAAAACAAATGATAGGTATTGTGTGTTATAGTTCACTTAATATTAATTTTAGGCGTTCGTCCGCAAACATCAACTTCGGCAGTACTTGGTTAATTTGGCAGATTTTCTATGACGGTACATCACAGAATGCGAATAATTTAATTTTGGTACGGGATATTGAAAGCCCCCCCCCCCACCGACACTATTTTTTTAAAGTAATGTTTATAGCGGATTCAATTTGCAATTTGACTTATTCATTGACAAAAAAACGTTAGGAAAATGTTATCAGATTTAGGTGATGGAAGTAATGGACCCATGTAATATTACAAAGAATATTTTACAAAGACTTTATGATCAATATTACAACAATGATGTTCTGAGCGTAGTAGCTTTCCTAGAGCTATGTAGTTACAATTTATTTGAATTAAACAATATTCAAGAAAGATACTTTAAGTTAAATTTTGTTAATAACATTAATCACCGTAAGCGTTTATCACATTAATTGTAAATAGAAGGAGGAAGATATAGAAATATCGATAGACATTTACGTATACGTATCAAATGCAAATAGAAAATAAATCATCTTTTTATAAGTTTGTCCATGCTATAGGGAACTAAGAAGTCAATAGTAACCTCGGTATTATTGTGCTTGACCAACCATCAATAATTTTCAATTTCAATACGATGCAATCTTCGCAAAAGAAAACAATTGTTTATTTAGCTAATTTTATTATTTTCGCATTTGTATTCTGCAAAATCATACTTCTGTGACTCGTATTGACATTTTGATATTTTTTATAGTTACAACTGTAGTTTTTTTTAACTGTATACCATCCTTTTCTTATGTTTCCTATGAAATGTAAATATGTTATTTCTGCTACGTTTACTTGGCGATGAACATGTATTTGTTGTTGCCAATGATATATTTGACGTGTTATAAAGTATGATGTCTCTTTTGAGATTTTAATTGCATTACACGTGTTTATCATTTCAATATTTACAAATTCAGCATAAAACGCAACAATTATCAACAAATATACAATTTTAATATGATTTGAATGGTAATTGATTGTCATCACACACAAATAGAAAGCATATACAAGTATACATGCATAACAACCTTTCTGTTATTTCTATTATTTCTTCACTATTAAAAATGAACACCATTATTGTGCATAATTTATCATTACATCTTATCTCCAGAAAACTCATTTATTGTTTTGTTTACCATTATTATAGAGTTATGCTTCTCTTTAACATGTACACACTAACAAATGTCGTGAGAATTTTTTTAGTGTTGTTAATATTGAAATAAGTATAAACAAGTAACTCGAGAATGGATTCCAACTCCGACTTTATATCATGTTAGACATTGCAGCCTTAGTTCGTGTTTTTTTTACATAAGATGTGAACCATTTTGCTACATACTTCAGGTCAAATGGCTATTTTCAAACTTTATTGGTGTGCATTATTGCAGCTACAACAAAGTATTAGAGTCAACGACGCAAATGTCAGTTATATAAGTCAGCTGTAGAAAATTTTTAAATGATAAAACAAGGTGGCGCGATGGCTCAGTTGGTCAGAACACTAACTGTCACTCCTGAGGTTCCGGGTTCGATCCTGGGTAACATCCTTTGGATTTTTCAGAAACACTTTTACTGTTTCCCACCTAACGAGAGGTTAACTGGTACGAAACCCAGGTTATCCTCGCATGTATCAATGCTTTACACTGGGCATGTAAAAAAACAACAAGGAATCTATTCAATAAGAGCTAGGGACTTGTTCCCGGATTCCCTTATATCTCATAGCTGACTCTAGAGTCTGCTGAGGTAAGGACCCTACTGGAAATAAGAGCTTGCACTTTCGTAGGCTATCCTTGACCGCCCGGTCTAAAGAAAATCAATCAATCAAAACCAAGTACATAGAACGTGATTTACGAAAACAAGGTTTCAAACATCGTGTAAATGTTGATATTTTCCACAGAAAACATTATAATGCTTTTGGAATTTTATTATGACTTTATGATGATTTTTATAAAATTTTCGAAAATAATGCACTGACAACAAAGTAGTAATGTTAAAATTGCAAACTTGTTTTGGTCTGCTCATGAGATATAATGGAAGGTACAACAGTCTTGTTCATTTAGAAAGTAAATTGTCGAAAATAATCTTCTAAATTGCCTGAAATGCGGGTGTATAATACAGAAAGGTGTATTTTAGTGCAAGGTGATCTTAACGGTATGCTTTTCCGTCAGTATCGGTTTTGAAATCTCCCATAATATGATGACGGGCTTTATCGATTTGATATATCAAGCGTGGTAACAGAACTATAAATGTATTTCTCATATAAGTGTATTCAACAGGTAAAACAAATGGTTTAAAGTAGCCCATTTAAGGAAACAATGCCCAATAATTCTTGTTTCTATTTTAATCAATTCTGTTACAATAGAAATACAATGTTATTCAAGTTGATATCTTGTTTCAATAGAATAATTGAAGCAATCAGTGTTTTATTTATTCCATTCAGTACTTTTATTATAACATTGTACAAATAATAAGGACAATGACAAGATTGTACGTTAATTCAATGTATAAATATTTGTACACATTTCAGTTATATTACAATAAAGGTCAAATTTAAACAATTGAAACAGGTTGCCATTGTAATCAAAAGTTGTCAAACAGTTTTGATGGCTTTTCAAATGAAATTAAACGGACCGTGAACTACCTTCTGACACTATTGTGTTTGTAATGCCATGAAATTTGTTTTCATTATGATGAATATGGTAACAATCATTAAGAAATGCGAAGAGTAATGGTCAGAGTCAGACATGACGTATTGAAAGGGACAATCAAAGAATAAAGGACTAATAATAATGTTTGAATTAATGAAATGTAACTAATTTGATTGCTATACCAGATAATACAGTATAAGCCTAACGTTATTACTTCTCATGTAGTTCGCATACAATTAACATGTGTCTGTTTAACAAAAAGTAATATTTTTTCTTGAAAACATGCAACTATATTAAACACTTAATAAACAACACTGCAACTATATTCAACACTTAACAAACACTTTAGTATCAAACATATACCCAAGAATGAAAGATAAAACGGTTCAGTTCAGATTTTTTCACAAATGTAGAGTTTCATATGGCTGCATCTAGTGTCATCCCAGTTGTTGCCAAGCCAACCCATATAAACACAAAATTCATCGTTCGGTTCACCTTCCGCCCATGACTGTGAGTATAAAAGAATCGCATGACTAGTAATAAAGTATTTTTGCCGAATTATTAAAATTGATTAATAAAAGTAAAATCTTGCCATTTTTTTCTTTTGAATATGTCATGTATGTCAAAGGTAAACTTTATAAATACCTGTATGGCGGAATAGGTTTGTATATTCCATCAGAAACGAATACCGCCTGCACGGAATCATTGCTAAAGGTTAAATTCTACTTAAAATACGAGGGGTGTTCAAATATAAAAGCAACTAGGCCAATATCTCGCTTTTTACCACGTTTTCTACGTATCGCATAGGTGGTAGTGTAAGCTCTCAATTGATACAATATATCTATCGCCTCGGTCAATATGTCATTTGCCGGTGAATATCACATCATATTCAATGGCACACTAGACAATAATTGTATAATAATGACTGCTGCATTACTTGGTATCCTGAATCAGCTCTACGGCCATCAATCCACGTACAATCACGACCAAAATCGCACGTCAGTCCGATCCAATGATTAAAGTCTAAAGTGAAGAAATAATACAATATAAAATTAAATTTTACGCCAATAAACGAATCTCAATCAATTTTCAACGTAATCAATGACGTCAGATAGGTGAATTTCAAAGTATTATGCGCAAAAGAGTTCATATGGCTGGCATATGGCTGGCTTGATTCTTAAGATGAAAGGAAAGTAGTTTCCTGATGATTTGATTACTTAAATTAACATACCAGAACCTTATCTACGTTTGTTTACATTGTAATTAAATCATTTATCAATTTACAGTTAAATCAAAGAATAACAATTGTTTAAATTAGCGGGCAGTTACATGTATTAGGTTCAGTTCTGACCTTGATTATTGTTTAACGACAGCAAATTGTCCTTCTCCTGTTGACTATCAATTATGACAAGTCTTGAAGATGCACTTTCACATGCTGCCTGGAAGATAAATAATTCATGTTATGTTCTAAACAAAGGACAGGTATATTACATAATTTGAAATATCTTATGATTTTTTTCATCAAAAAAATGCAGATCGACATTGAAGAAGAAGCAAAACACACAGGAAACCAGATACTTTCGAATGTTATAAAGAATTTTTCTGCGGATACTTACAGACAGGTTTATAATACATAGCAACGTATAGACATTACTCTCATTAAGAGATGAACGAACCATCTGCTGGTTAATGTTCACGTTACGAGACAAAAAAGCGTTACAATTCATCCCTCTGCTCTTTACACGAAATTACAATTCTATATAATTATCAAATTTCAATATAAATGGTATGTATGGTTAATACATTTTTGCAAACATTGACAATAAGCTTGTCATTGATTTGCTTATGTATGTATACAGAATTTCATTTGTCTCATTATTAAGATAGCTTGAAATAATAACATGATGCTACGTAAAATTATATTAAGATAGTTACATAAAGAGGTCATTAATTGTTAGGTATGATTAATTGAGCAACACGAGCTGATCCGGTGTCGCGTAGCTAAAATCAAACGAATATTTATACAATCTAGATGCTTGTCATTTATGTACTTTGTTGATTATTTAATTCCTTCAGCTATACAAACTTTGTAGCATAGTCTATAATCTGATTGGTTTATGAAACGCAAGAGCAATAAATCACAGAAGAACGATATTAAGAAAGCGTCAATACTATCACGAAAACAAAATGATATTAAAAATTGCGAAATCACAAAAAGGGAAATCTTGCATTTTTACCATCGTTGCCTTTTTAAGCTTCAGATTTCGATAGTCTTAATGAAATTCAGTAGTAAGAATTACTTATTAAGATATTTTGATAAAACTTGATATACCTTTGCAGTATTCCAATTGGCGGTAGTGGTACTCAAGTGATAACCACCGGCTGGAATGTAAATGTGTCAAACATCAATATCTAACACTATAGTATTTGTAAATAGTGTTTTTTTTGTCATTTTTTACAAACAAACAGTTTGCAAACAAAGAATCCAGTTTAAGTTAGAGGTAAGCCTGGCAACAAACATTTACGATGAATTAAAACCCTCGCTAGACAAGGTCATTTATGGGTCAAAGTAATATTCAAAAAGTACAGAAGTATATATTATTGTCCAATATGTTGACGTTTCCAAATATGAACACAATTGTGAGGCTTGTTTTAAATGGGAATATTTATCTGTTTTGATGCATGCACTAAATGTTTTGTGAAATATGGTCCAAACAAACCATACATGAAATTGCTATTATGCGGACACGAAATGATTTACGCATGCACTGCACAAATTAATACGAACAGAGTCAAATCACAAAAGTTCACACAACTGAAATTACACCACATGTTCTGTGGGAGGTAGGTTTTTCTCAGTTTGAAAGGGTATGGAAAAGCCTTGAACTGACACTGGAGAAACTTACGTTACCAATAGTTACTTTGTAATTACTAAGATTTTATCATCTGGTTGAAGAGTAAAACTTAATAACACTATCAACAGGCCTTTATGTGTAAAAGTATCTATTAAATTCTATAAATGAAGTCTATAAAAATGAATTTACCAAATGTGGTACCACCACCAGCGTTACAGGAACCAGCGTTGCAGGTTTGAGTTTGGGTATTTGTCCCTTGACATGGTTTCCCTCCTTGCTAGATGGTGGGCTATTGCACAGCCTTGACCTTGACCTTTGTCCGGTTCCACATCTTACAGAACACGGTCCCCAGCTCAGCCAATTTCCCCAGGAGCCATCCACTATATTGATTTAAGGAATGATAAAGGAATGTTAAAGCATGGCGTTATTTGGAAAAAGACACTTTTTTAAAAAAAGTATTGTACAAAACTTAAGGTAGAAAATAAAACTTATAAATTATAATTTTTTTCTTGGTAACTATAAATTAATTTTAAATACAGAATATTATTTTGAAATTCATTATCATCATGTTGTGCATATACTTAAAAAAACTTACAGATAGATGCATAAACTGCCCAGTCAAATTCTGACTTTGAACTTTCCGGGTAAAGTGTACTCAGTTCACACGTTTTATCATTTTTACGATAATTAAACGATAAATATTGCGAAGATTCTTCAAAAAGTACGGAACATTTCAACAATGACCGTACAGTTCGCGATTCTCCTATCGCGGAATTTCTTACATTTAACATATAACGTTTAATAGTCTCACATCTCACAGGCTCAGATACTAATAACCATATCAAAAGACCGGCATATTTCAAGGCAGCATTCTTCATTTTGTAATCAATATTTAAACCATTGCACTCTATTCCAATATCAAAATTTCGCTTACAACTTTACAGACACTTAAATACCATAAAGTGTTGATATTTCTTTATTATTTATTTTTTATCTGGGACATCCTTACATGTTTCAATTGTTCATTTAAACTGAGCCTGTAACATTTCAACATTTCTTATTTAACGTGGGCGTTCGTTATGTCGTTTTTTCTCTATTCTATCGACAATGAACCCTTATTTTTTCCTCGGTGACATTTGTTACCAATTGCACGAACCATTGTTCTCTTAAAGTTTACAATTTAAACAATGATTATGAACTAACCTTTTTATGTTATTAAAATTGCTTAAAATTACTTTACTTTAAAAGATATACTATTATTAGATCAAACAATGATTGAAACAATACCAATACAGTAGTCAATCCCATGTCAAAAAAGAATGATAAACACAAAAACGTGTTTAATTCTAAGTAAACACAAACTATTCACCCTTCTTCCGTTCGTACACATTAAAAAGCAGTTGTCAATAAGAGAATTATAATTTATAGAACTAATTCAAATATTGCTTTGAAAAAGAAAATAAGTGTTGATGTACTTTTGAGTTTACTTTCAATTAAAAAACAATAATTTCATTTAAATCTTATCAAATTTCATTGAGCATATACATTTATATCCATTATATACTTTTACCATTTATTTCCTAAGTCTTTTGTTCAAAAGTTAAAACAACAGCAGGGGTCAAAATCAACTCTCCTGCCGGAGTAAAGAAAGGCACAAATTCCAATAATTCAATCCCATTTAGTCGCTTATTACAATCACACAGTGTCAAAATCTTATGCCAAAACGGTGTACTTTCCCTAATTAAATAAATATTAGTTTTAGCATTTAGTAGCCGAAAAAAATTGATGCTATGATTAACAACGAAAATCCCTAATGTGACATTTTTACTGAAATGTTGCCTTTTTCTAACAATGTATGTAAGGTTGAATCCAGGGCAATCATTGCCCTCTTTTTAAAATGATAAACATTTTAAATGTTGAATTTATCGGGGCTAATTGGAATTATTGATATACTTCAATCAATATAAAAAATAAAATGTATCAAATGGCCGATAAACCTTTATGCTTCGGAAAGCCTCTGTCTAGACTACATTTAATTATTACAATCTATCCCATTTGGTCACATTAGAACACATATTCCTGAAACGTGATAACTCGGGAATTGAATTGTCTTCAGGCACAGTAATTAAGTTTTTTAAGGACATATAAAACTTTCTGCATAAGCTGATACCTTGTCTGACAGAAAAGTAGGTCATTTACTGTAAATAGGTTTTGTCCTTATAAGGAAACCTGCTTTGAAAGTGTTAAAACTTTCAGAACTAGAAAAATTTCATAAGCAGAGATGATAAAACTTCGTATTTGCTGCATTGAGAGCATAACACTCCACGACATTTTATACATGTAGAGCGCACATTTAACAACCTGCTTGCTATTTATATCTAAACAAAAATGTTGATACGTTATTAATAAACAAAATTTCGTTATAATGAAATTACAGTTTTCAGTTTCCAGTTATTAAGAGCGAGAGCCATTGCAATGTCTAAACAATAATTAGAAGAATGAAAAAAGAGCAAACCAATAGGTACCCTTTTAAGCATACAACAACTTTTTTTCCAGTATTTTAGATCATTACAGTGCAAATCAGAGGAATTTTACATGTACACATAACAAAACAACACGCAAATACAATTTCGTTTTGACCCCCTTTAAATAAAATTCAGCTAGCTTCAGTTTAATCATGTTTGTTTTATGTCCTGTATCTAAGTTACATATTGTTGCAAATTAATTGCCTCTTTTTACATCAGATAAAGGTCAATTGAGATAATTCCTTTTCTGACATTTTTAATTATCAAAGTCCCTAACAATCTTAAATGGAGGACCCTGGTTTGTTCCCAAAGTGGAAAAAAAACATATTATAAATCCGTCCCCCCTGGAAAAACGGGTCCTTCTAATACTAACAGTTTAAGTCCAATGGTAAGTTTAATTTAAAGTTCCCCGAATGCCGTATGGAAAAGTTTCTTTTTAGGTAGGTTCCTGTCAGAACATTTCAGCAACCTAAATTAAGAGAGAGGTTCCTAATTAAACATTTTTATGTTTACAAGATATTAAGATGTTAAGCACGTCTCCTATTTGATTCTATAATTTTTTTTATTTGAATTATGTTAAAATGATAATATTTTTATTTAAGGCCTTGTTAAGAAACAACTTTTGTTTTAATGTTCTTCCATTATAAGCTTTTGGGCCGGCCAAAATAAATCCATTTAATCAACATTTTTGAAAGAATTACAAAATATGATGCATTCCCCCCCCCCCCCTTCCTTTTTTTCCCCCCCACCCAAATTCCCAAACCAGGACCCCCAAAATGGGGTTTTTTTTGGGGAAAAAAAAAAATTTAATGTTTTTTTTTTTTTTTTTTTTTTTCCAAAAAAATTTGTTAACTTAAACAGAGGAAGACCGCCTCATGTTCCAAATTCCCTTTGTCCCACCTGTTTGAAGCTAACTTGTGTTTTAAAACCCTAAGTGTTGTTCATAGATGGGTATGATAACGGTCCGAAGTATGTTCGTTTGATCCTTTTACATGTACCTGTTAAATAATCCAGCATTGTGGTGTGGGGGGGGGGGGCTCAGGGTTAAGTTGTCATCCGGAGAAAGTGTTTTTTCAAATCGGAAATTTTGGAGTGCTCCGTAGAAGAATTTCCAGATATATATCCGCTTATATATTGGTTAAAAAAAATAATTTTTATATCAACATTGTAAATAATAATGAAAACATAAAAGGAACAATTTTGTTATTAAAAAGATTTCAAAAAAGCAACCACCTTTCCTTCCCCTCTCCCCCCCGCCCCGGAAAAAAAAAAAAAAAAAAAATTTTTTTCCCCGGGGGGTTTTTTTTTTTTTGCCCCCCCCCCCTTTTTGGGAGCCATTTTATTTTTATCAAGTTAGTATTTTAAAAAAAAATAAGAACAAATGGTAACTTACTAAAACAATCTTACAAAAAAAAAAAAACGCTTCCAAATAATACCTCAAAATCTTGGCTAACACGTTTTTGGTTTTCGCGGGGTGTAAATTTCTATTGACCCAGCTTTGAAGAAAAGAAAAACCTAAAAAACTTTGTTTTTAACTTAAGTTTAGTTTGGGGTGGAAGGTTCCAAGAATATTTTCATACCTCGAATTTGAAAATAAGAAAATTTGACCCGCCATGGGTTGTGAGCCCCATTTACGTGTCTGTACGGAACGTGGATTTGAGCCTGTCTGTTTAATAATATGGCCCTCTCTAGCATTCCCATATATGTTTAAAGCGTTTTCGGAAAAAAATACTCGGCTTTTCTGAAGAAAACGTTTAGCTAAGCTTAATTTTTACTGTCGCACACAAGCTAAAAGGTTTTGTGGCACACACATCATTTTTAAACTTAAGTCATTGAGAACAAAAATTGAATCCGATTAAAGATTTTTTTTTTTTTTGAAAGCATATAAGTTGAGAGTTTTTTTTCATATAAAGTTTGTTACCAAAATTGTGAAATGGTGCAAATTGGTTAGAAAAAAAAATCAAGTTTAAAAGTATGTAATTCCATGAAGTTTTAAGAGTAAAAATAGATAATCAAGTTTGAAACCTCCAGTGAAAAATTTCCTCCCCCAAAATCCCCCCCCCCCGGGTTTTTGAGCCCCCCGCCAAAAAAAAAAAGAAAAAAAAATAAATTTTTAATCCCCCTCCGGGGCCCCCCCGGGGGGTTTTTGGGGGTTTTTAATTTTTTAAATCCCCCCCAAGCCTGACCAATTTTCGGTCGGTTAAAAAAATATAATATCTTTGAAAGTCCTCCCAAATCTGGTAAAAGAGAAGAAAAAAGAAATTAACAATAATAACAAAATTTACTTTGAAATAAAGCCAACGTTAAATTACCTTGTCCCCCCTCTTCACAACAATATTTGTTCATTCCCTTTCTGCTTCCTTTCAATACTAAAGCAACATTTTAAATGAAAACTTCAAAATAATCTTATCAGTGATAGTTTTATTGAAGTAAAACATTTGTTTTCTTTTGGCCCTAAACGCATTTTTAAACAATACCTTCTATGTAACTTATAACAATGTTTATAATACCAACAACAATTTTAAGTTTCAATACACATTTTTCACTGAAGGGTTTTATAATTACCTTATCCCCAATCAACGATTTGAACGAAATTTAAGCATTTTCCCCTTGGCCTGTGTCCCAGGAACAAGGCCCAAGACGGGGCGGCAACAATCTCGACCTATAATCATCTATAATTTGTTTTTTTGGAAAAGCATTACCTGGCGGAAGCTTGGGTAACAATAACCCAAAAAAAAAACCCCCTTTTAAAAATTTTGAAAAAAAAATAAATCGCCCCCCGGGGGGGGGGGGGGGTTTTTTTAAATTTTGGGGGGAAAAAAATTTTTTTTAAAAAAAATTTTTTTAATGGGGGGTGGGAAAAAAAAAAAAAAAAAAAAAAAAAACAAACCCCTTTCCTTTTTTTTTTAGTTTCCCCGTTTAAAAAGGCTTAAGAAGTCCCCCTTTTAAAATTTTCAATGCCGGATACTTTGAATGAAAAAATGAAATAAAGACTTATTTTATAGTAAATGTTGGTGAATGTCAAAATTCCCATTACATTTTTGTAAAGTCGAAAATGTAAATTTACCAACACTAGGTATGGGATATTGAAGGTAAAATAAAGATATGAAAACGCAATGAACAATTCCCCGGCAGAATTTTTAAACAATACCACTAATAAAATATTTGTGATGAAATAATGCAAATTAAAACATTTTCATGAAATCAATTCTTTCTATCATCAGAATTTGCCCCTGCATTCCCCCTAATTGTAATTTGAATGTAATTTTTCCAGTAGAATATTAAAACCCCTAATATAAATATTTTTTTTTAAATATACAAATCCGTGGGGGTTGTTACAAATTAAAAAGCCA